ATGCTCGCCGTGCTGAATCAATGCACCCGCCCTGCCCAATCCATCAAAGAGAGCCTTCTCTCGCACTTCTGCTGCGATGCGGGTCCTTCTTTCGTTCATTGCAGTCTCTTCAAGATCCTTTTTCATGTTCAACAGTCGTTCTGACTGTTTGAGGACCTCTTTTGTCCTTTCACGGTCCTCATCTGCTAGTTTGATGGTCGCTTGGAACTCGTCACACTTTGCAGTGACAGGCATTCCTCTGTAAATGCCGTACTTGTGTCCCTGCCGCCTGTAAATGTCCAGAAATGTTGTTTCCTTCTGAAAGGAAGAGCTTTTCAAGCACTCCATACGATAGGCGTTTTCTGCTGTTATGAACTCCGTTTGTCCACTGCATTCATCGTGAATTTCATTCAGGGCTTGACGAACTAACTTGCTGTCAGAGTTAAGTCGGTCGATCAACCCTTGAAGAACAAATCTTGGGCCGCATTCATCACGATTTGTTTGACAGTTGCTGATGAAGTCCTCCGAGTCGTAGCTGTGGCCACTTGCTTTGAATTTTCGATACCAAAGTCATATGTCTGAAGCAGGACAGAGTCCGTCGATGAGCAAATAGTCAGCATCCCCTTTAGTACCACGTCGCGCCGGTTTCTTTGAAGGAGCTGTCGATTTGACATCTGTCGAATTGACATCAAGGCCAACTTCTGCTTCTTCCACTTCAGAACCCGATCCCAGAGATGTTTCAGGTGCAGTCACCGGTTCTGCACTTGATTCTCTTTCAGATGATGGTCTGGATTGTTTCAACGCTCGCTTCTTTGTAGTTTGAGGCGTGGTGTTTGTACTGTTTGTCATGGGAAGATACAGGCCCGGTGTTCTTAGCCGGAATGTTACAGGAATGTATGCTATAATACTTCCCTGATACTATAGTTTTCTACCCGATCTGAAAATAATAAAAAGCTAGGGAAGAAACTGGCTAGTAACATTGATAGAGAGGATTCTGTCCGTCCACCCGGATACTTTCTCAACTCATTGACGGTACTTCAGTAATCTCTATCAGGTACAGCTAACCTCTCTACAAATACTACTAGCATTAGGATTCTGTCCACCCGGGCACTTTCTCAACTCATTGACGGTACTTCAGTGATCTACCCAATACAACTAACCTCTCTATCAATGTTACTAGCAACAGGATTCTGTCCACCCAGACACTTTCTCAACTCATTGACGGTACTTCTGTGATCTCTATCCAATACAACTAACCTCTCTATCAATGTTACTAGCAATACGATTCTGTCTACCCGGACACTTTCTCAACTCATTGACTGTACTTCACTGATACTTCACTGATCTCGATCAAGTACAACCAACCTCTCTACAAATACTACTCGCAATAGGATTCTGTCCAGGCGGTCACTTTCTCAACTCCTGGACGGTACTTCAACAGATGAACAGTCTAAACAACAGTTTATATTTAAAAGAGTGGGTTATCATCAGTTGCTTCCAACTCTAATACCACATCAAAATCCTCGCCAAAATTATGCACCTTTACAAAATCCTCACCAACATCACTTTTTGAATCTAGGGAATCATTTTTGAACGGTTCTTCAGCACTCAATTGATGCAACCAGTCATGACGGCACATCAATGCATTTATTGTTCTTGGAGCAAGGCGGTTGCGAGTTGCAGGTACCAAATCAACCCCGGCTGAAAACTTTCGTTCGACTGGAGCGCTTGTTGCTGGTATTCCTAAATAGTCCATTGCCATCTGGCTTAGGGCTGGAAAGTTCACATTTCCAACAGTCTTCCACCAGTCCATAATATTGATTGGCTTCCCATCAGAATCAATACCGCGGAGTACCTGATCGCCAAGATAGCGATCCAGCTCATCTTTTTCCTCAGGAATCTCTTCTTGCCAGATGAAAACGGATCTAATGGCTCTCAAGCGTTCAGCGTCCGTTTTTTCTGTCTATCACCGGAAGCTCCTCTCGAATCGTGTCGACGTTCTGGCATGTTTCCAAAAACATCGGCACCACTGTTCTTGATTTTCCGTGACTTATACAATTCCTCCCAGACTTTGGGCACTAGAGTGACCTGATCCCTTCCTACATCTTTCTCCCAAGCCTTTGAAAATCAATAATATTGATCCTTAAAACGAGGATCGAGTACCGTAGCAACTGCTAAACACGGGCTCTTAGCGATTGAGTAATATATTCTCAGCTTATCTAGTGCATTTCTAAATGCTTTGGTGAAAGTTTCATCCAATTCTGCCTCCTCTTGGTCCTACAGTTGATCGATAAGATCGTTGTAAAATGGAATAACAAGCGGAAGTGTTGGATATCTAGACCCCTCAATTGCCTTTGATATAATCTCGAAAACACTCAAACCATCCCGGATCTTCTGTAGGACCTCCTATTGCTTTGGATTTATTGACCAATCTTTCAAAGAATCTTCAATCCAGCATATTTTGTCCATTGCCTCTCGTAGCTGTAAGGCTCGTTTGACCATATAGAACGTGCTATTCCAGCGAGTTGTCACATCGATAATTGGTAATAGAGGAACTAGTTTCACAAATCGGCACGAATCAATAAATGAGCTTCGTTGTTTTGGGGAAGACCAGATTCCTCTGACAAGCCGTCGAAGAAGGTTTATGACATTAACGCCGGAGTTATCGTCATGTGCGACTGTGTCCCCTGCGGGCGCAAATGTATCGATAAAATCCTTTGCTGCAAGATTGATAATGTGTGCCATACACCGCATGTGTTGAGTTTCTGCAGACCACGCAATATCCCTATCTTCCAAGAGCGTCTCCAGCTTAGCACTCATGGTAAAGTTGTTTGAACCATTGTCGGTTGTAATGCACAATAAGCGTTCACCTGATAGCATGCCAAATTCATCCAGACACTTGACAAGCTGATTAGCCATGGCGACGCCTTCATGCTTTCCAACCATCGGAATCATCTGCAGCAGCAAGTCCTGCGGCTCCCATTCTTTCGTGATGAAGTGGGCAGTAATTCCAAGAAAAGAAATCTGGTTCTTCGATGTCCAACAGTCAGCTGTTATTGATACTTTTGAAGGCGAACCAACAATCAGACCTTTAACGAGCTCCTTCTGCCTATCGTAAAGATCCATCTCCTTTTGCTTCACTGCTTTTGCCGTCTTTGGTGTATAGTTTGGCTGAAAAGTCTTCAGCATGCTGACAAAGAACTCGTTCTCCACAACAGTAAAAGCCTGATTGTCTGCAGCAATCCAGTCCAAAATTGACCGCCACGCTATGTCTGGATTGAACAGAAAGTTTTGCTCCTTCTCCTGCGAGCCGAAATTCAATGTCTGTTGTCCCTTGGGGACGATGTCCAACAGCCCAAGCGACCTGGCAATACTTCCATGGTGGTTTTTCAGATGCCCGAGGAAGTTTTTTGTTGATCCTGTCTTATTGACCTTCTGGCTCCACTTGCATTTCGCAACCAAACATGTTCTCAGACCATTATCAACCTTATAGTAATCCTTCGCTATGCCGCCTCGACTACCTCTACAGTCCGACATGCTATCAACATCTGCGTCTGATGAAAGCATTGATGGTTGAACTGATCCAGCTGCAGGCTCCTGTCGCACTGAAGAGTCAGCAAAACTAACGTCTGCAGGAAGCTCTGCTGCACGCTGAGAAGCCAGGCCCAACTCGCTGGAGTCATTGGAAGAAGATGTGGAGCTCGGCTCTCGAGCGCTGTTGTTGCCACCGTGTCCTGATACACGTCTGCGTTTGTCCTGCATGCTGTTCCCCTCGCTGGACGCCTCTGAAATTTGGGGGGCTGGCAGACTTCGCTTTCTTGTGTCAAGCGGATGACTGTCCACCAGTCTTTGGCTTGCGTCGGACGCTGCCTTACGCTTTGGTTAAACAAAGGCGGCGTCCATTTTTGCTGTGGTGTGGCTGGAACGTTACCGACTCTAAGTGTCCAGGTGCACAGAAAGCACAGCTCTGGAGGTCTGTCGTGGTAGAAATTGTTTGTTACAGAACTTCCGTTGTGACTTGTTGGAAAGTGTCCGGGTGGACAGAATCGTATTGCTAGTAACATTGATAGAGAGGTGTATCTCCCGTGCGTCTAATGCCAAGGTTCCTTGGGTTGCTGGTTTTTTAGATATTCAAGCAGCTTATGACACCACAAATCGTGCAATTCTTTGGGCTGAGCTTCTTTCTAGGGGAGTACCGTTGCCATTTGTTTTTGTTTTGAAGTCTCTGTTTGATTTTTGTTCTTCCAGAGTGGTTGTTGCAAATTGTTTTTCAGGTTAAAACAATCCAGACCATCATCTGAAAGAGAATCAAGTGCAGAACCTGTGACTGCACCTGAAACATCTCTGGGATCGGGTTCTGAAGTGGTTAGTTGTATTGGGTAGAGATAACTGAAGTCCGTCAATGAGTTGAGAAAGTGTCCGGGTGGACAGAATCCTATTGCTAGTAACATTGATAGAGAGGTTAGTTGTATTGGGTAGAGATAACTGAAGTACGTCAATGAGTTAAGAAAGTGTCCGGGTGGACAGAATCCTATTGCTAGTAGCATTGATAGAGAGGTTAGTTGTACTTGATAGAGATCACTGAAGTACCGTCAATGAGTTGAGAAAGTGTCCGGGTGGACAGAAAATACATGCCTCGATGTCTGTTGTGATGCATATTGTTTGATACATACAAAACTTATATTGCGTCTTCTTGGAAAGTGTCCGCGTGGACAGAAAGAACAATAGCTTCGTTTTAGCTTCCCTATCACATCGGGTTTTACTCGGGTCTGATTTTTGACCCGAGAAGGGTTTTCCTACTGAACCCGATACCCGGCCCGGATCCGACCCGAAAATTTTCCATGAAAACCTGGCACTCGGGTCGGGTACATTTGGTCAATGGACCCGGACCCGACCCGAAAGACCCTAAAACATCCTTATGGCTAAAGACTGAGGATCAAAATCTAAACCATTAGCTGAAGTACGAAAGTTAGCACAGCGCCAAGCATGAGACACATGTTTCAGAAGAGAATTAACAAATAGCTCTAGTAGTTCAGTTTGTTACAGCAACAGCCTCTACTCACGAGATCGCAGGTTCGAAACCTGCGTGCAGCATTTAAGTTACGAATGTATCGGGTGCCAGCTGGGAATGTGGTGGATTTGGAAATCAATTCTCAACTTCGGGAGGTACAGACCTCAAAAAGTCAGTCCCGTGACCGCCACAGTAGGATCAACTACGCATCCGTACCAGCTCGTCAGACTCGATATTCCAATAGCGGTGTATGTCTTCCATTAGCCTTGTATGGGGTGCCAGTCGCGCGGGTATAGACTACTGTTTGTATGGCCAAGCAAATCGACATCGAGTGGGTACAAATCTGTACCCACTCCCACGGACAGGTACAGAAGGTTAGGACAGATATTGTAAACCCCTCAATCGAGTGAATTCAATTGCCTGGCGTCACCCACGTCTTGGTCGACGCTGTGCTCTGTGCTAGGACAGTGGGTACCTAATTTTCCGCCACTGCTGGAATCACGTGATTTTCCAGGAGCGAACAGATATGTACCTGCTCGGAGCTCCAGAAAGATTGTAATATTACTGAAAGGACCCTTTCATCTTCTTACGCAAAAAGTGGTGATTTGTCAAATATTTGCCAAATGATAACTATTTGCCAAATATTTGTCAAATCAAATACAAATATTTGGCGAATAGCAAACATTCTGCAAATACTTGACAAATTGAATAGGCAAATATCTATTTGTCAAATATATTTGGGCAAATCAAATATTTGTAAAGCATTTGACGAGTGGTCCAACAGAATGGTATATCAAATATTTGGCGAGTCAAATGGGGCGTCTGGCATTTGACTGGCGAGTCAAATCAAAGGAAGCCACAAATGGTCACGAGTCAAATATAGCAAAATATTTGACTCGATTTGACTCATGGCAGACCCTGCTATCTTGGCCATCTTGTCCTTCGAGTTGAACAGCTTCTTTGAATTTCTTCCTCTGAGAGTCTGTTCAGTCAAAATCGCATGGGAAAGTGTATTTGAGGATCTGATCAATTCAAAACGCCAACGATGGAATGACGATCAGTGATGTGATTCGGACGGAGGGAGAATCATTTCCGACAGATCACAATCGGGATGGTACACTATACAACAACATTCAATATGTTTTCAGCTGAAACGCTAAATTATTCTTGCCTTGCAGATGAAGACGTGTTGATGTTAGTTTTTGGGAGAGTGTGAGAGTGCATGCGTGTGATGAATGCACGTGGTTTGTGTTTTGTGTAAATTGCATGTGTCGAGGTGTTATCTCGTCTTCATTATGTTTGTAGAACATGAACTCAACGCCTCACTGGGCACCTTAAAAAGAATATGTGTTGAGGTGTTCATGTATGATTTATGCTTTTGGGAGCCAGTGTGCTGCCTGATACGCGTGGCCTCTACACAGAGCCCACGAAAAGAGAACAACAGTCACACATATCACACTTGTATCTGTAACCAACTGTTCGTTTCCTGTCTGGTCCTAACATTCAGTATGGAAAAAAGCTTCATCGCATAGAACTTTATTGTGGATAGTCACAAACAATAAACAGATAGGGAAAGACAAAGCATAACATCGAGAAAGTTCATAGTGACCACAACACACCATTCCACAAAGTTTAACTAGACACATCACTCAGAAACTTACACAATGCTACTATATGTGGATGATCTGGTGGAAGGCATTTCGAATATATCTGCAGTGCTTCATCTGCACACCTTTGCATCCCTTTCATGTCTACCATTTTGTAATAGCACACACTCATACTGTATAATGTGATTGCAACTGAAGGGTGCTCTCGTGTTCCGTATGCTTTAACTTTGATTGCAAGAGACTCTTCATACAGTTGCATTGCTTTGGCATAGTCACCTTGACTAGATGCAACCTGTCCCATACAGCCGAGTGTTGTGGCCACATATGCATGCTCTCGTGTTCCATATGCTTTAATATATATTGCAAGACACTCTTCATACAGTTGCATTGCTTTGGCATAGTTAGGGTTAGTTAGGGTTAGTTAGGGTTAGTTAGGGTTAGTTAGGGTTAGTTTAGGGTTAGTTAGGGTTAGTTAGGGTTAGTTAGGGTTAGTTAGGGTTAGTTAGGGTTAGTTAGGGTTAGTTAGGGTTAGTTAGGTT